AATCCGGACACCAAGCAAACCCACAAAACAACTTCTCAGTTGTCTACACAATACGTGGGAATCTTGCCAAAAGAGTACGAATTAAACTTCTTCAAACTGCAAAAGCAATGGCAATTCACATATTGAATCCTGAACTCTGCATACAAAAGAAGTTTGTTCAGTCACTAAATCTACAATGGTCCTGATCTATCTTAACATCAAGTACGTAATTTTGCCTTACCTCTTTCTTCTTTGTTTGTCTGTTTCTTAATTGCATTATTTTCTACCCCCACTCTCTATTAAATCTCTACCCTCATGAGGACTGTTGGTAACTCCATTTTCGTTTATTTTTAAGTGAATTCTACTCAGCTTATTAACTTAACTCTCATTCATTTTCATTGAACCCTATCAATTAGATTACGTCACCTAACCTACTTTTGTAACTTTATTTTAGTTTCTAACCGATTAACGCCTTCTAAATTACGTAATTTGTTGTCAAAAATTAACAATTGCATTAACACATCTTTGGAAATATTCCTTTTGTTGTCAAGAAAAATTACTATAAATTTGCGGTTTGTACAGCTTGAGAATGATATCGCCGAAAAGAGCGACTCATTGCTGAACGCCTTTTCTTTCCTATGACTGAATGGGAATTTTCAAATTGTATTTTTGTTTGACAACCTTAATGTACACATACATACAAAATAACACATACATATATTTGCGATTGTACAACTAAGAAAATGAATTCGCCGCCGAAAAGAGACTCTTCACTGATCTACGTGTTTTGTTTTCAATAATGCCTGGATGGGGATTATACATGAATTGAATTCTACCAGTCAAGTATGCAATCCGGTCAACGAGCTGGGGCACTGAGTCAGAATTCAATGATTTATGTTTCTCAACTTATATCAGTTGCGATTTATCAGTTAAATTGAGCAGAGAAAGTACAAACAATTATTATTATTCTTATTATTGTATCATTTAATTCCTACAGGAACATAGGGCTTCAGCCGTGCGCCTCCACTGCGTTCTGTTCTCTGCTAGAGTCTTCACCTGGCTCCAAGTCTGCCCACACGCTTTCATCTCCTCTTCACATGACCTCCTCCAAGTCACTCTTGCTCTGACGACCAACTCGCCGCTTCCCTTTCGGGTTCCACTCGAGCAATGGCTTGTCTAGTGATGTCACTTGATGCATTGTTTCCTCAGAGTATGGCCAGCCAATCCATCTCCATTTCTTCCTGCTTATTTGTTTCACAATCGGTTCCTGGTTGGTTCGCTCATTGCCAGAGATCTCTGTTGCTGATCTTTTCTGGCTGACCATCTGATCTTGAGCAGCATTGAGCGAAGACAACTGTTAATGGAGGTCTGTAGTTTGTTTGAGATGCTCTTCATGACGCGGTGCGGCGCCAAGTCTCTGATCCGTATAGAGTAGCACTGACTGACTTCACAATGGAGTTGAAAATCCGGATCTTATTTTTGATGCTGAGTGTTGTTGACCTCCACACAGACTTGAGAGTAATGAAAGCTTGTCTTGCCTTTCCGCTTCTTGCTTTGATCTCCTCGTCAGTTCCGCCTGTAGTTGAAACGATGCTTCCCAGGTAGGTAAAGGAGGTTGTTTCTTTCAGGTTCCTTCCATTTATGCTGATTGTTGTCAGTTGTTGTTGTTTTTACTGTTGGTGGTGTTGCCCAGGAATCTTCATCACCTCTGTTTTCTCATCAGTGAGATAACTAAAGTCTAAAACATCCGTCTAATAAAACCAATTATATCCATAGTGTGATCATAGTTCAACATACTCAAAGCAAAAATATGGCTGAGATGAAAACTATTCTGTTAATTCTTGGAGTGAATGAGAACAGTCAGTCTACCTTCATTACGCTTACTTTAGAAATAGAGTTAGGCATCAGTAAGTTGCCTTTTATAGACTGCCAAGATAAGTGGAAAGAAAATGACTATCTTAATGTCTATATTTTTAGTTGGGAAACACACTCAAACAGATATTTGAACTTCAGCTCCCCACTTATTAGTGCAAGGCTGCCAGCTGTCTCAAGCTTTCTTAGAAGTGTACGCTGCTTGATAACAAACCGGTTCTATGGAAGGTTTTCGGGGAAGGTTAAAAAAAACAGGATTTGGACTATTAATGGATCTCAGAAGTATGTCATTTCTAGTCATTTTGATGAATATGTGTATATAGAATGTGGTGTAACTTTCTAGTTGGTACTCCTATGCTCAACTAGGAGATGCTTTTACCACATATATCAGAGAAATGTATCCTATGAAACATTTTTGTGCAGTTTTTATGTATTTTGATTTCATGAATATATGTATTCCATAAGCCAAAATTAGGTGAATAAATTTAAAAAATGGGTGGACGACAGCAGAGAAACCAGTGAACTGAAGGTATGTTTCTGCAGACATATATTCCGTCAGATCCTGAGGAATAAATAGTATATATATATATATATATATATATATCAAATATCTCTGACGACAAAGAGAAGCAACAGTTTTCTACCCCCGTCAGTGCATATCCAAAGAAATATCTGCCATTCCGAAAAATTTATTAATTCTAGGAGTGTTCGAACCCAGACCACTATCGGGATGAGCAAATAACATAATACATAAAGACATGTAAATCTGAAGTTTTTTATTTGAAATCAGTTATTCAAAGAGGGATTTTCTTCACTTACTCAACTATGAGTCACACTTATTGTGTAAGGCCTGATGATATCGCCCACTTACCAAGGCAGAATTAAGTGAGACAGGGTTCGAACCCAGGACTCTCTGACTAAAATTCGAGTGCTTAGACCAATGAAGTCATCTTCCTATTAACCTAAAGAGTTCCCATACTTGAACAAAACAAAAGTAAATGCTCATATACTAAAAAGGCCTGCAAGCGGACGTTAGACTCTCCATCTCTCTTACGATTCACCTGATCACTTAGGGCTGCCTCGCCCATGGAGCTGTTCTTCACTTCTACCTTCAAGAAGGTTCTCAATTGAATATTTGCTATTACCATTAAGATCTGCACCTGTTGTTGTTTCATCTAGGCTTACGCCAGCCGCAGCGACCTTATCCAAATTCCTGAACTAAGTCAGTTTGGCCTCGATCTGCTTATGCTGTGCTTGCAGCAGTGGTACGGTATACGTCCAATACTGAAGTACCAACCGTTTTCAGGAATGATTGATTCCGCAGGTGAGTTGTAACACACTCCGACTCCCATAGCCACCGTTTTGTTGTCTGAACCAAGCAACACCTATTATAGTATCTTATGAGCGTCACGTTACACACACCATAATCGCGCTTTCGGTTCATCCTTCATCCCCACTACTACTTAACAAAACTGGTCGGCTTGATACTCGTGTTCAATGCTAAACTCTATTTAGGCGAGTTAAGTTTCACAGACAGAGGGTGTTTTCTCCCCAGTGCCTCTAGCTATTCGTTTTACCCCATAAAGTGTTTTAATTTCTCAAAATGCCAGCTATCGTGAGGGAAATTTTTGGAGGGAACCAGCTACCAGATGGTTAAATTAGTCTTTCCCTCGTATACTCATGCTACATGATCGCTTCGGAAATCGGAATCGCTGCTACGACTCTCCAGCAAAGTTTCGCCTAGCTTTAACTTTCGCATAATCCGCTAAATATGTACGTATGTATGCGTTTCCATTAATTTAAATAATAATTTACTACGGCTATCTCCTACGGGAGGATGAGCCGGCTTCATGAACATCTCGAATCATCGCTGCCCAGGCGCGGCGATCTGATGTAAGGTTTTGCGACAGGGTTATCCAATTCTTGTTCCACAGACGGATTCTGTAGACGGTTTGTAGCCCCAGGCACTCCATATCAGCCTTGACTGTACTGAGAGTTCATGAAGTTTCATGGGAATTTGGTACGAGTGATGTCCCCAGAATCGCTCGGCCTTTTGTTTGAGAGTGCAGCTCTAGCCTTTACACAACCAACTGTGTGACCTACAAGGCAGTAGGAGTGGAGTAGGGAGTCCACTATCCATTGGCAGCCGGTGACCGGAGTTCGGTTCATACGCCTTTTTGAATGGGGCCAGACATCCAGGACATCCAACAAGCCCTTTGTCCATACGTCTGCCGGTGAGCTCCAGTGAGCTTCATACACCAGTCGTTGGAGGTTTGGAATCAGGGTTTAGCCATCTCCCCTAGACTGTCATCCAATGGACAGTCAACCCGGTGAAGATCGCCGGGCATCCGCTTTCGCCCTCTCACTTTGGTGAAAAAACACCTCCACCACGTGAAGGCAGTGAGTAGGACTTCCTCAGGAGAGGCTATGTAAGACGCCCAGTCATATGGGAGCATTTCAAGAGGTGTGCGGAGGGATGGTTACACACAAACTAATTCTCCAAAAGAGAAAGAAGATTGAATTATTATTTTATATTAATTTTTCAAAATAGATCTATTAAAACAAAGCAGATAATGGTGTAAAAAGATAGAGAAAGGACAATAAAACGAAAAAAACAGACAAACAAACCGAAACACATACAATGTGTATGTATTTATGTGGGTGTAAAAGCGGAATAATAATACTGCAGGTAATAAGCAGTAGTAGATATTAATAAGCCAATAAAAATAAACACATACAGAGAATACCCTTCCCTACCCTACCCCCATCGTGTAAAACCTCGTGTACACCTCCTGCTCCTCTCCTCTCGTTTGAGAAGAGTAAAAGGCGGTGAAAAAAGGACAAAAACAGAAAAAAACCAACAACACCGGAATAAAACCAATGACGAGCACACACTGTATGCATATAAGAAGTTATTCATTATAAAGTTGTATTTTTATACTACCCTTCACCTCTATACGAAATATTACACACTCATGCACACACACACACAAAAACGCAGATACCTCCTCACAGATTTTGACTTGGAATGAATATAAGACACAGTGATTGATTTAAGATAGAATCGGGGTGGGGTACACCATGATAATAGTCAAAGTATAACTATTGATGGGGAAGAGATACTCAGACAGACAGACAGAAGAGATACTCACACACTCCACACACACACACAGGGGAAAGAGAGACAGGCCGACAGACAGAGTCAAGGGTAGTAGTAGTAGTACATCGCGAATCACCACCGTTCACTTTCTCATTTCGGCAGCAAAGGATGGACCGCTGTTGTTGTTGTTCTTTCTTAAGAACACAAAAAACATTACAACAAACCATAAGAGGAGAATGTCCATTTTCACACGCAAACACAGAAAGAGAGAATTGATAAGATTAATAATCGATAAAGGCGTCTTTCATATGTTTGAAGGGGAACAGATATAGACAGAGAGAACGAGCAAGAGAACCTGCGTCCATGACACAGCAACAGAGACAGTGAGGTGCAATATGCAGACGGACACGCGTTCACAGAGATTATACACACGTTGAAACACACTCAGTGTGATCCCCTAATATATGTGAAGAGGATTTCAAATAAATAAATATATATTTTTGGTATGGATTTCTGTTTAAAAATTATGGGGGAAAAACCCGAATAAAACCATTTATATAGGTATGTATGTGTTGTGTGTCGAAACGTCATGATGATATTGAGATAATGTGGTTACTGAGACGAATATTATAATATGAAAGATCAAGAAAGGAAGGAGGGGGCGGGGACAGTAGAGACGAATGGAAACCAGACGTGTATGACGTGTGCTCGGCTCGTCATACGTACATTAATATGATGAAGAGAAACGCAACACCCAACAACAGATCTCTAAATTATGTATGTGATTAACTTTGAAAACAAAATACATCCCCCTCCACCCCGCTGCATACGGAATGGGGGTTGGTGGTGGTAGTGGCAGTAAAACAACACAGCAATACACAGACAGAAGAAGAAAAGAACACACAAGAGATTATCATGATTGGGAAAGCTTCAAAGAAGTTTTCGGTGTAGAACACGTGCACCTTCACTGTCATATTCTCTTTTTGATATCCACATTCGTTTGAATGTATCCAATGAGGCGAGGATTGATCCACCAATCCATGTTGAATATAAGCGTTCTTGTGGTGCAGAAATTCTTAAATGAGCATCTTTTGGCGCTAAACGTTTCAGTTCTAAGACAAGACGATCACCGAAACCTTTAATAATAAACAAAACACAACACAGGAAGGTGAAAAATACACGTAATTATATGAACAAATTGAAGATAGTGTGTGTGTGTGTGTGATGTGTCTAGTTCTCTGTTTGGTGCAGACTGAATTATATAACAGTCACATTTGCAATATGGCAACCACCATGCAACTAGGTGGCTTACCAACACGGTACACTTTGAATTGTTGGTATTAGATGTGTTGGAAGTAATTGGCCACAGAAAGCCTTGGCTGTACCTAAGTTTCGTGGTAGTTGACACTCGTCAGCGGTAACGTCCCTGACCGCAGAACTCACTGAGTGACTCACTTCCTGTGGCCGATCACCTCCAACCATCATCTAATACCAATATATCTTAATTAACCTGTAAAGGCTATTTGAACAGAGATATGTTAGCCGTAGAGTGCTATGCAAAGGGGGGAAGTCAATCGACGATGTTGTGAGGTTATATCGATTGAGATATGACTAGGACATGTGTGCTGAGTATACACATGCCAAGCCACTGCCTTTCTCAACATGCAATATACTAGATGCCAACGGATTAGGTTAGCATCAATTCATGCAGTCTTTCACAGTTAGTTTGGTATAGACTGTCTGGATGGGGTCTCTGGAGATGCAAGGAACCAACAGTTGGAGACAATTGGTGATATGATTGAAAATCGTTCTTAATGGCTGGCGCAGATGCATCCCCTCTTTGTAGTCTTCCACACACAATTAAATTTCCATGATGTCTTTCCATGCTACTATTCTTTTTCCCTCTGATCGTGGAGATGTGGTTGAGCAGTTGCCTATCTCTCTACCAACCAAAGGGTCATGTGTTCGAGTCCGTGCTTCAATTTTGGTGCTATTCTTCTGTATTGGGTAGTTTTACCAACTCCTTAACTAGGGTAATTGAATCAAAAAAAAAACAATTAAAGGTGCAAAGAAATAGAGTAGCAAGTGATACCAAGCGAACGTCATTCAACAGCTGGCTATATGACATTGGCACATGTCAGCTGATCTATAACAGAAAACTTCGTGAAGCTTTTAAAGTAAGGACAGAAATAAGACACGACTGCCCACTACTATCACCAATGATGATGATATTCCTAATTGTGGCGACACATCACGCGTGGGAAGGAGAAGACAGGAATATGCTGAACCACCGATAGATAAGAAGACTATAGAAGATCTGGATTTCGTGTGTGGATGATTTATGTTTAATGTGTTACACAAACTCGAAGAATATTGCAGGCGAAAACCAACAAACTGGCTGAAGAGACTCGCTGGCAGCGAAGACAGGACTCCAGGTGAACATAGAGAAGAAGAAGAACCTGATGAAGACAGCCAATCAACGAACAACAACAACAAGTACAAATCACTATAAATGGAATAAATTTCAAAACAGGTCACTTCCTTCACTTTCCCAGGAAGCATCGTTTCAATTACAAGCAGATGTCAGAACCAGAATCGGATAGGAAAGGCTAACCTTCATCACCCTGAAATTAGAAATGGGAATCTTCTACATTAAACATATAGAAAAGGACTTGGATTTTCGACACTAATGTTAAGCCAGTCAGTCAGTTCTTCTAAATGGGTCAGAAACTTGCACTGAAAGTCATGAAAAGCATCTACACAACACACCACTGAACACTTTTATCAACAACTGCCTCTACTAGCTGTCCATATCGAAGACCAAATGGCCAGAAGGGATTAGTAACAAGAATCTATGGGAATCAACCAACAAGCAAGAGTCGATCGATCGCACGCAATGCAGGCCATCATTCGAGCGGAATCCCAACGGGAAGCGATGAGTGCGTCGTCAGTGCGACGGTGACATGGAGAAGAGATGGGCAATCGTAGGGCCAACTAGAAAACGACAGCAGAAAATAGAACAAAGTGGAGATGCGTGTTATTGAAACCCTCTCTATGTTCCAATCAGAACTCAAGGAAACAATTAATGATATCAAGCGAAGAAGAAACACTTGATCGTTAGCCTGCCTTGTGCATATTCAATGTGAGGATGAGTTAACTACTGAGATGCAGTCAAATGAAGCTGAAAAAGCTGTTGATAAGATGGACTGCTTCTATCGACAATAGAATAAGAAGTAACTTTTTAGAGCCAGTTTAAATTTTATCAGATTCTCCAATTCTTAGTGTTAATATGTAGTAAATAAATGGCTCAGACAGTTTACTGTGAAGGTTACTCATTTCATAATTAGGTTTAATTTGGTCACATTCTCTTATTTTTTTATTCCTTAAGTTCCGAGTGGGACTGTTCACAAGATTTCCTTTCCTTATCTTCTTCTTCTTCAAATAATCTTTTCTATATCCCATTCGGGCGCGTCGGTGGCATAGCGGTTAGGACGCTCGCCGACCATGCACATGGTCCAGGGTTCGATCCCCGGCCACCGATGCACTCCTTTACCTCGCTAAGCCAGAATTAATGCTGGTGAAGAGTAAAGGTTGGGCATGAGGCTAGCAACCCCATCCTGTAAAATAAACACTGCTAAAGAAACTTCAAGCCACTAGTTTGAAGCCCTATGTTCCACTGGGGAACGTGAAGGAAAAAATATCCCATTCGGACCGACGCTCATTCGAGTTCCACTCGCGCGCGCCTGGGCGTCTTATGTCATTTTAATGTCTTGGCCATTGAGTGCGTGTTCAATCCACCTGCAAATCCTTCCACAAATATATGTTCAGCACTAGGTTGCTGATTGGTTCGCTACAAGATTCCAGTTGGCTATGTGATCTTCAGTATTAAGAGAGAAGGCAGCATCTGTTGATGCTAGTTTGCAGTAGCCTGTGGGAAATGCTTTTCGTTACCCAACAAGCCACTGAACCATAACAGAAGCACTGACTAACTTGATTGACATTAGTGTTGAAAATTCGAATCTTGTGTCGCTGTGCCCCGTGGTGTAGATCTTCACATTCACTCCAGAGCGATGGATGTCTATCTGACGTCTAAATTTTGATCAGTGCCAAGTGTTGTTGAAACGATGTTGCTCAGGTCAGGTTGTGGTGAGAGCTGTCTACTAGCCAATTGGTTGACAGTAATTGAGGTCAATGTTTATGTATCAAATATTAGTCATGGTGTGGTGAGAGATGATTGCTAGCCAAATTGGTTGACAGCAATTGAGGTCAAAGTCAAGATGGACAGGCGGATACAGAACTGACACAGCCACAAAGAGATGCAAGGTTAACTTTGTGTGAGAAACAACCAATCAACAGACTGTATTTTCTACTAACATTAACCTACAATAATGTACATCAAAATCTATAAATGTGTGTTGATTTTCCGTAATAAACGTTCTGTTGCCTGGCCCTTGTCTTCTGTTGTTACAAGGTAACTGGAAGTGACGAATTTCTTTAGATTTCTCCCGTCAATGATGATTAGCGTTCGTTGTGGTTATATATATATATATATATATATATATATATATATATATACATTATCATAGATTATTGTTAGTAGACAAACACAGTCTTCTGATTGGTGGTTGTTTCTCACTGAAAGTTAATCTTTCACCTCTTTGTGACTGTTTCTTGAATGTCAGATCATCTATAATGCTAATTGTATCCGCCTACGCAAAGTCTGCTGTGATTGGTTGTTGAGTCAGTCAGTCTTTGTTCTTGTTTTTCTCACGACCAATATTTGGGACGTAAACTGCTGTCTACCAATTTTGGCTAGCAGACAGCTCTCGGTCGGTCGGTTTTCGACATAGAACTTTGCACATATGTGCGCCAGTTCAAGTCGCCACACTCCCTCCATGTAGCACACAAAGCAAGAGAAGAAAGTAGAAGAAATGCAAAACAGAGACAGTAAACAGAGGTGTGAGACAAAGGAATAGTAATAACGGAGAACAAAACAGTTTCATTGGAAATCATAAGTCACAAGGAGTGGATGCATCTGCGCCAGCCATTGAGAACGATTTTGAGCCATGTCACCAATTGTTTCCAACCATTGGTTTTTACCGTCCCGAGGACCCCAACCAGTCAGGAAGTCTACACCTTCCTACGTGGCTTAAACTAACTGTTGTGGATTTCATTGACTGATGAAGCCATGTTTTCGTTTGACCGCCGCTAGCTCTTTTCCAGCCTGACCCTATATCAGCTAACATTGACCGTCGAGGAAGGCGATGACTAGGCATACGTAGCACATGTCCTAACCATCTCAGTCGATGTAATTTCACAGTTTCGTCGATTGATTTCCCCACCTTACCTAGCACTCGACCGAAGCCTAACCTCAATATTGCTCACCTTATTATACCACTTCACGCGGGAGATAGAACGCAGACACCTATGATCGAAGACAGCTAATCTTTTCATGTCTTCTGCTCTCAATGGCCAGGTCTCACAGCCATAAAGGAGGACGGAGCGGACTGTTGAGCAGTACACACGCCCTTTGGTCGATAGTCGGATATCACGTCTACGCCAGAGACGGCGTAAACTGGCGTATGCGAAACTAGCCCTCTGTATTCGTACTGAGATTTCGTCAGAGATCAACCCGTTGGCGTTGGCTGATGGTACTTCCCAAGTAAGTGAAGCGGTCAACGTGCTCTACCACTTCACTTCCTATTTCTAATCTAGGGGTCGGTGTAGTCCAATCCTGCAACATTATCTTACATTTTACAGGGGCATGCTAAACATACGAAGATTGTTGCTCAAGGTGTTCAGTAGACTCTGCATTTTTTCAGCGTCCTCACCTAGAAGGACTATATCGTCCGCATATTCTAAGTCAACGAGATTATTCCCTGGTAGCAAGTCAATCCCTGAGTCACTGAAGTGAATTAGGGTTAAGTCCATTAGTACGTCTCTGATGAAGTTGAAAAGGAATGGGGATAATGGGCATCCTTGACGGACGCCACTAGTGGTTCTCTAAACGGTATCAATCCATGATCAAAATTTGAAGGATAAATTTCCTTAGAAACTGGGATGAATTAAGAAACCATAGAGGTGTTTCGCCTTAGTTTGAAACTCTTCAGCACTACTCGTGATCTCATTGTAAGAACATGAACCGGGACTTTTGAATAATCAGACGAGTATGTTATCATTCAATCAAATAAAACAGATAGTATTCAACTAACCTTTGAATAGAGTAGAACCACCTGACAGAACGATATTCTCATACAGTAAACGTCTTAAGTCCATATCAGATTTTTGAATAGCATAGGCTAATACCTGTAGGCAGAACATAAAAAGAGAAAAAAAAGCATTATTCCACAATGAAATAAATTTGAATGATGATATTCGGGGATGTAGGGATTTGGAAATTTCGTCACGAACTAACATCAGTTGGAGGATCATTGTAAACCAGGAGAGCACTAGGCAGCCAACTGTTTCGTCCTAGTTTGAGACTCTTTAGCATCAAGAACCCATGCCTCCCCCCTCACCACCACCACCAGCGATCAGTCCTATCATCTCCAGGTTACGACAGGCCAGTTAGTAGACCTTTCAGAGAAAGCCAATGCCATCGATAGGTACCCAATTCACTCTCAAATGATGAATCCCGCTAACCACGTAAATACTGAAGGTCTCCACTAGTCCAAACAACCAGATTTTATCATAGGCATGACCAACATAACATATGCGCACTTCGTCCCATATTGGGGCTCTTCATCCGAACGCACTCCCCATTCTCCAGTGAATGATGGTATTCTCGGTCGGTCGGTTTTCGACATAGAACTTTGCACTGATGTGCGGCAGTTCAAGTCGCCACACTCCCTCCTTGTAGCACACAAAGCAAGAGAAGAAAGTAGAAGAAATGCATAATATAGACAGTAAACAGAGGTGTGGGACAAAGGTATAGTAATAACGAAGAACAAAACAGTTTCATTGGAAATCATAAGTCACAAGGAGTGGATGCATCTGCGCCATCACCTAGAACGATTTTGAGCCATGTCACCAGTTGTTTCCAACCATTGGTTTTTACCGTCCCGAGGACACCAACAAGACAGGAAGTCTACACCTTCCTACGTGGCCTAGACTAACTGTTGTAGATTTCATTGACTGGTGCCATGTTTTTGTTTGACCACCGCTAGCTCTTTTCCAGTCTGGCCCTATATCAGCTAACATTGCCCATTGTCGAGGAAGGCGATGACTAGGCATACGTAGCACATGTCCTAACCATCTCAGTCGATGTATATTCACAGTCTCGTCTATTGATTTCCCCACCTTACCTAGCACTCGACGCCTAACCTGAATATTGCTCACCTTATTATACCACTTCACGTGGGAGATAGAACGCAGACACCTATGATCAAAGACAGCTAGTCTTTTCATGTCTTCCACTCTCAATGGCCAGGTCTCACAGCCATAAAGGAGGACGGAGCGGACTGTTGAGCAGTACACACGCCCTTTGGTCGATAGTCGGATATCGCGTCTACGCCAGAGACGGCGTAAACTGGCATATGCGAAACTAGCCCTCTGTATTCGTGCTGGATGGTATTCTCACTGAGGCTGAAACCCAGTACCCTTAGATTTAAACGCCAAAGCGTTATCCCCACTAGACTATTTGGGCCACGACAGCCACCTCTTGACCAAAGGGTATCAGTAATTTAAACTATTCAATTTAGACTTCCCAGTTGATTGATTAGACCGAAGTGCTCGGCCTCAGGTTGACATGCGCATCCTGAATTCAACTGCTAGTCGCCATCCACCAATTTGCTTCAGGTTAGATAATGGAACATCGTCGAAGCATCTGCGCAAGGAGCCGGCATGTCAACCTGAGATCGAGCACTTTGGTTCAATCAATTAATGGGAAAGTGCAAATTGAATTAAATCCTCATTATTTATTCCATTCTATTTTATTGGATATGGCAGATCACATAAGGACGATTTTCCGCCATATCACCACCAACTGTTGTCTCCAGTCTTCATTGGTTCTTACTATCCCGAGGACGCCAACCAGTCAGGATGTTTACACCTCCCTGGGTGGGTGGGTGGCTGGCTTAAACTAACTGTTATAGGTTTGATTGACTGATGAGGCCATGTTTTGGTTTGATCACCACTGGCTAACTCTTTTCCTACCTCAGCTAACATTGCTCGTTGTCGAGGAAGGCGATCGATGCCTAGGTATGCATGAGTAACACAAGTCCTAACCATCTCAATCGATGTAACTTCACTACCTCTTCCTTACATAACACTCAACGCCTAATGTCAATATTACTCACCGCATCAAAGCACCTAACATGGGTGAGGTGGCGGAGACTGGAAAAACCACCGCAACTGACACTTCAAAGCTTGGAGACCTATGTTCCACGCGGAACAACTCAAGGATTGAAAAAAGGGAAAAGAAAAAATAATCCCCGTTGAGGTGGAACGGATGCAATCACTCTAGTAAGTGAAACAATTAACACTTCCTTTCCCTCTTTTAACAGTACTCACTAGAACTCTAGACTTACTGATGCAGTGTAAACTATGATGATTTATAATAATAATAATAACCAAATTGTATACTGTTGATTTAAGACAGTTAAAAACTTTCTACTTAATGAAGTGAGAATGACAGAGACAGCTGATCGAAATAGTGAGATAGATAGATAGACAGACAGACATTACAGATTTTGTCCAATCAACAGAAATGAAAGACAACTAGACATACAGCTGATGGATGGATGGATAGATAGACAGGCAGACACATGTAGTGAAAACAATAAGCCGATGACATTTAAGTATGTCTATGCATCTATCTACGTGATGTTACACCTGTGAACTTTAGTGAATCACAGACTTAATCGTTTATTCGTAATTGCATAATCTGTGTTGTCAAAGTTTGAGGGTGGGGGGCGGGGAAGGTGATATGAATAACAAAAATATCGTTTTTTCTTCTTCTCAAAACAACTTTTTCACTCGTATTATGAAAATACAAAAAAATTAGTCGAAACGCTGTTGGTTCTTTATTGACATCAAAAAACGACACAATCATCGGAAAATTTATAATTCAAAACTGTTAAGTTGCAGTTGTTTGTAATCACTAATTACAAGATATATATTGTGGGTGATGATTGTAAATGAAATTTAAAGCCAGCGCGTCACGGCAAGATTCGAACCATAGGCATCAGAATTATTGGTCTGGAGTACAACAACTAGCTGATGCAGGAGACCCAACTCGGTGGTAATCTGATCATCATTCCTACTGAGAACACACACAACGGGTAGCTCAGCTGATACAATATTGGAATAATATTATAACTCGAAGGCTGTTAATTTGAATCCTGCCGTGATGTTCATTTGGATTGCACCTTCAATCAATCAATCATCACTTATAACATTTAATAACAGCATGCCAGTGATGTTATTATTCATACGAAGTGTGATCAAGAGAAGTAGATATATATAAATGTCAAAAATTATATTTGTATAATCTCAGCGAAATTGAAATGAGTAATTCCAACGTTTCCTGTGTTCGGCAAACTGCTCCCAACTTCTTCAGGGAAATTAATCAAAATTAACATAAAAAAGGTTTATGTATAAAAAAAGGACATCTCTTGTTTTTAAATACTTTGTCCCCAATCATATATGAGTCATGAAACAGTTATCAACATGTATAATAAACAAAATTATATGAGCTGTGATCAAAATTTGACCTCAGACTTCTTACAGTCATTTTAAATGGAATTTTAGATTTTCCCGTCGATTGATTGGATCGAAGTGCTCGGTCTCAGGTTGACATGCTGGCTTCTTGTGCAGATGCTTCGACGATGTCTGGGCATGTAATTAGAATTGAATTGGTGGATGGTGACTAGCAGTGGAATCCAGGATGCGCATTCCGTCCTATTTGGGACTCGTCAGTACTGGATGTACGTGCATTCCTCAGTGAGTGATGATGTTCCCACCAAGGCTCGAACCCAGTGCCCATAGTTTCAAACGCCAGCCAAAGCGTTATCCACTAGACAACTTGGGCCACGAGAGCCACCTCTTGTGCAACGGGTTATATTAATTATTAATTTAATTTTAGATTTTCCCGTCGATCGATTGGACCGATGTGTTCGGTCTCAGGTTGACATGTCGGCACTGGGTTCGAGCCTCGATGGGAACACCATCACTCACTGGGAAATGCAGGTACATCCAGATGACGAGTCCCAAATAGGACGAAATGCGCATCCTGGATTTCACTGCTAGTCACTATCCACCAATTAAATTCTTACAGTTATATTAGTCTACTTTTGTTAAACACTTTAAACAGAGTGTACCTTTAATCAGAATTTTAGTGATTATTATTATTGTTTCCTTTAATTCCTAGAGGAACATAGGGCTTCAGCCGTGCAACTCCATTGCGTTCGGTTCTCTGCTAGAGTCTTCACCTGGCTCCAAGTCTGCCCACACGTTTTCATCTCCTCTTCACATGACCTCCTCCAAGTCACCCTTGGACGACCGATTCGCCGCTTCCCTTTCGGGTTCCACTCGAGCAATGGCTTGTCTAGTGATGTCACTTGATGCATTGTTTCCTCAGAGTATGGCCAATCCATCTCCATTTCTTCCTGCCTATTTGTTTCACAATCGGATCGAACCCCGAACCATGTGCATGGTCGGCGAGAGTCCTAACCGCTGTGCCACCGACGCATCTACGACCATGGACTTTTAGCAGCTATCGGTCGGGTTTAGTGATTACGTTCGACTAAAAGTCCATGGTCGTAGATAAGTGAATATGAAAAATATATATGTATATATCGTATACAATGGTAAGTGTGTGTATGGATGAACAGTTGTAAAAACATTTGTTAGCCTCTCCATAAGAAGATAAAGACAATCGGGAATTTAGACCAAGTATGATAAATTAGTGTTACATATCCATTTTCATTTAATAATCAGGATTTGCAATGCATCAGCTAACACACATACATCTTCACGTCTATTCAATCTTTTGGGATTCACCCATATATACAGGGCTTCTGTAGAACCTTAGTCTTATCAGAGTCGATTTTGTATCCCGTTTCTATCGAATGCATTGCAATCGCTGATCTGTTTTCTAGCTTCTTTAAGTCTGCAGAGGTCTTTAGAACCACCTTTAGACATTGTTTATGCTCTTTCACTCTTATATTTACCTGTCTGTAAGTTCCTCCTACATATACGCGTCACACTCTCCACAATTCTGTTCGTTGTCTTCTTCTATTTTATCCTTAACCTTCATTAGTGATGAGCGTAAGGTGTTAGTTGCACGAAAATACACTCTTATGTTATGATTTTTAAGGATTCGCTTTATCTCATCGGATGTTTCTTCGCGGTAGGGAATCACCGCTGTACTAACCCAATTCTTAGCAACAGGTTTCGATCCATCCTTATCTTCACATTTTAAGTATCTTTTTATGAAGGCTTTAGGATATTTATTTGATTCAAGAGTCGATTGAAGCAATTTTAGTTCCCTGCTGATCTCTTCCTCCTCAGTAACTAGACGTTTGGCTCTGTTAATCAGATTCTTGGCCACAGTTACCTTGGTGGTAAAGGAATGTGCTTAAAAGTATTCTAGGTATCTGTCCGCATTTGTCGGCTTTCTGAAAGTGTTTAAGTTCAGGAACGCCAAATCAATTTTGTTGGATTCAACCTCTTATGAAAACTTGAGGGTTTCTGACATATTGTTTATTAAATGAAAAAAGTTCATTCAACAAGCTGAATCGAGTGATGACTGTTTCATGATTCATATGATTGGGGACAAAGTTTTTAAAAACAGATGTCCTTTTTATACATAAACCTCCGTTATTTCAATTTCGATTAATTTCTGTGAAGAAGTTCGGACCAGTTTGTCGAACGCAGGAAACGTTAGAATTACCTATTTCAATTTCGCTGAGATTTTACAAATTATTATTATTATTACTGTCTCTCAGTTCCCCTCCTCATACGATCTCCCCCATGTCACCCTTGGATCTACATCCAACACATCGTTTCCCATTCGGGTTCCTCTCGAGCAATGGTCTACATGGCGCACGATGTCATTCAACATTCTCTTATACGTGTGTCCGATTCATTGCCATTTTCAAAAGAATGCATACTGAACAAAGAGTTCTCATTTCGATAACTTCATCATCAGGCTCTACAGTTACATATACATTATAGTGAATGAATGAATTAGTGTTATGAACAACAATAATGTTGTTTAAATAACATCGAATCAATAATATTGATAGATTACAGCTCAATAGCATCAACATAAAATAAGCTGAATGTCAGAAGAATTAGGAAAGGTAATGGTACAAATTCATGAGTTTATAGTCTCTACTGAGGGCCGGGGCAGTAGTAGGGGCTGGACTTGTTTCTTTTGAACACAGAGCACTGATTGTTTCAGGCAAATTGCAATAGCCTCTGCTGTTTGGCGCATGCGGTGCTTCGATGATTTTGGCAATTTATTAGGCACCCGATAGATTATAGAGAAGGATTCTTCCACGCTGAGGTTTGTGGTCGGCTGGTTTGCACCAGATGGTCTAATATTGAACTGTTGATGGTTTTCACTACACCTTTACTTAGCCATAGTGGGAGATGTTCTCGAGCACGAAAAAATCAAATTTCTAGAGCAACGGCCAATGTAACTCGCTCACTATTGCAATTCGCCTCAAACAGCCAGTGCTCTGTGTTCAAAAGAAGCAAGTCCAGCTAGCCCCTACTACTCCCTTAGCCTTCAGTAGAGACTATAGATTCATGAATTTGTATTATTATCTTTCCTAATTTTTTTGACATTCAGCTTATTTTATGTTGATGCTATTGAGCTGTAATCTATCAATATTATTGATATAGAATATTTGTTGCTCCTCGCGATAGTATAGTGGTGAGTATCTCCGCCTGTCACGTGGAAGGCCCGGGTTCGATTCCCGGTCGAGGAGCTGGCTTAAGGGCGTCGGTGGCATAGCCGGTTAGGATGCTCGCCAACCATGCACATGGTCCGGGGTTCGATCCCCGGCCACCGATGCACTCCTTTACCTCTCTAAGCCAGAAATAATGCTGGTGAAGAGGAAAGGTTGGGCATGAGGCTAGCAACCCCATCCTGTGAAAATTAAACACTGCTACAGACACTTCAAGCCACTAGTTTGAAGCCCTATATTCCACTGGGGAACGTGAAGGAAAAAAAACAAAACAAGTTCTTGATTGACTCGTTCCCCAATTTTCTTGTTGTCAATTCCTTCTGGCTACCTCTGATCTTCAGTGTGAAGCCAGAGAACGCCAGCTGTTGAAAAAGTCTGAAGCCCGTTCAAAAAGCTTTTTTTGTGACGCGATAAGTCTCCAAATTATACAGAATCATCACTGACTGATTTGATATCAGTGTCGAAAATTCGAATCCTGTTCTTTATACTGAGTGAAGAAGACTCCCATACTGCCTCCAAAGCCTCAGGATGGTAGGGGGTGGGTGCCTTGCGCTGCGGGTTGGCCAGCCCTCCGCACACCTCTTGAAATGCTCCCATATGACCGGGCGTCTTACATAGCCTCTCCTGAGGAAGTCCTACTCACTGCCTGCCTTCACGTGGCGGAGGTGTTTTTTTTCACCAAAGTGAGAGGGCGAAAGCGGATGCCCGGCGCTCTTCACCGGGTTGACTGTCCATTGGATGACAGTCTAGGGGAGATGGCTAAACCCTGATTCCAAACCTCCAACGACTGGCGTATGAAGCTCACTGGAGCTCATCGGCAGACGTATGGACAAAGGGTTTGTTGGATGTCCTGGATGTCTGGCCCCATTCAAAAAGGCGTATGAACCGAACTCCGGTCACCGGCTGCCAATGGATAGTGGACTCCCTACTCCACTCCTACTGCCTTGTAGGTCACACAGTTGGTTGTGTAAAGACTAGAGCTGCACTCTCAAACAAAAGGCCGAGCGATTCTGGGGACATCACTCGTACCAAATTCCCATGAAACTTCATGAACTCTCCTACAAACGATTCGAGATGTTCATGAAGCCGGTTCATCCTCCCGTAGGAGATAGCCGAAATAAAGTAAAGTAAGTGCCGTCTGTCTGTAGCTGAAACGAAGACGCCTACAGAAGTGAACGACGTACTGCATAGCTGTTTCATGCTTATTTGAAAGTTTTCAGCATCAATGAAGTACTTACTTACTTGGAAAGAAACACACCTGAAAGTTAAGTGTTGTGTCACCCAGTGGTCGGTCATATATCTCCACCTAGAATGTATACATCCCTCCCTTACTATCGTGGATAAAACTTAACAAAATGATTGTGCTAACAGCTGATGACAGAAAGGTATGACCAAATCATGCATAAGTGTTCACAAGTACACTGGATGACTGACTACAGGATTTTATCATGAGTTGATATCGGTTACAGAACCATCAGAAAACTAGCAAGAAGTACTGGATGATTGTTTCGTCATCCCCTAGTTTGAACTCTTCAACGGTAGACTACTAGACTAGCGCCAGGGTTCGAACACTATGTGACTTCACATCATTTCGACAGTCATCATGAATGCAGGGATATTTGAACAGCTGGTTCATCAATCTCATTAAGAATTCTCTGGAAATTGAAACACCCCAGAGCATTTTGCTGTGCAATCCACTTGAGACCAATTAGGTCTTTGTGTGACGACGTGTACTTTATTATCATCCAGTCATTGGATTATAATTTTTAAAAGTATTTTTTTAAAATAAACTTTAAAATATTATAAGAGCATTTAAAGAAAAAATATTTCTTACCTGATGAATACCAAGATATTCTTGTCCCATTAAATCTGGTCGAAATAGTAATTCTGGAGCACGAAATCTTGATGGACCTATTTCAAGTGTTGAACCATCAGGCAGGGGATATGAAGCTAATGCTTCGACTGCTTCTACTTTACTTGGATTTAAACTGATAAAACATGCACGTTCCTGTATGGGTTGAAGGGCGGGCGACGGGAGGAGGGAATTAAAACAAAACGTAATGTAATACAGTTGAGTAGAAATGAAAAAAAACTTATAGATCTATAGAGTTATATGGGGGTGGGTGTGTATGTGCTACTGACAGGATTTATCAGTAGTATATATAGACGCAGATTGATACAAAGCAGCAGCAGCAGCCAAAACCAAAATAGAAAACAACATTTTAAGTCAGTGGTTGGCTACAGAAGTCAAAGTGTTCATTCCTCAAATGCGGATTTAGCGCTTACGTTGTGGTCAGGAAATTATCTTATTGGACAATTTTTCGTCTCAGGATTTAACACCTTAAGAAAATCAACAACCAACCAGAACAGTCTATTATCAGCTGACGTAGCCGACCTTAAACGTGGCTAAAATGAATAAATATAGTTTTCTTTATTATTATGTTTATTAGTACTATTATACAAAAGGTTTGTTGGTACTAGATGGTTGGAGGCAATCGACAGGAAGCCTTCGACCTAGGTTTCGTGCTAGTTGGCACTCATCAGCAAGGCGTATCTGCAACTTTGAAGGAACTGATGTCCCTTCTGAGATTTGAACCTGCGTCACCCAGTGACTGCTGCAGTCAGAGACGTTACCACTGAGCTATTCAGGCTCGCGACTGACCTCCTGTATGACTGTATTGGATATTTTTGATTGAACACTAGTCAGTAACTAGTGTAATGTGTCTAGTCCTATCTTCGGTGCAGACTGCTGCTGCTGCTGCTGGATTCAACACAGAACTTGGCACCGAAGTGCAGAAGTTCGAGTTGCCACGTTCCAAATAGCACACCAAGGTACACAGGAAAATGAGTGAAGAGAATCAATAGAATTTAGGTAAGCATAAGAGTGAAACAAAATGAGTAATGGTAGAAAGGAATGTGAAGGTTAAAGAGACTGAATACATCTGCGTAAGCCATTGACAACGATTTTGAGCCATGTCACCTATTGTCTCCAGCCATTGATTCTTAGAGTCCCGAGGGCCCCAACCCGGAAGTCTGCATCTCCCTACCTGACTCAGTTTAACTGTCAGGGATTTCATGGATTGAAATCGGTGCAGACTGAATTCTATCAGTCAGGTTTGGAGGTCAGTCGCGAGCCTGAATAGCTCAGTGGTAACGTCTCTGACTGCAGCAGTCACTGGGTGACGCGGGTTCGAATCTCAGAAGGGACATCAGTTCCTTCAAGGTTGCAGATACGCCTTGCTGATGAGTGCCAACTAGCACGAAACCTAGGTCCAAGGCTTCCTGTCGATTGCCTCCAACCATCTAATACCAACAATTCACAGTGCACCGTAATGGCGAGCCACCTAGCATGGTGGCCACATTGCAAACATGACTGATAGAATTCAGTCTGCACCGAAGATAGGACTAGACACATTACACCAGTTACTGACTAGTGTTCAATCAAAAATACAAAAGGCTTGTTTGACATTTACCAACTTACATCATCATCTCTGGAGTAGACATGGTAAGCGGCCACCGACCAGAGGAAGTGTGTATTAGTGCACAGCAGTTAACTCTGTCCTTTTTTATGGTTATTATGAGAGAGGGGTGTCGAAAGTAAAAGATTTGAAGACGCTAGCTGTCTCTGTCCACATAGAGTGAGTAATATTGAGGTTAGGCATCGAGTTTTGCATAAGGAGATTGTGAATCTACATCGATTGAGGTGGTGGCTAGGATAGGCGATACGCCTTTCTCAAGTTGACGGTTGGTTTGTACCAGCTACTACACATAAGGAGGTGTAGACTGCCTTAGTTGAGATCCTCGAGTTGCTAGCTAAGATCCAATGGCTAAGGACTATTGGTGATATTGGCTCAAAATCATTTCCAATGACACTCTTTGCAATCGCCCAATATCCACTAAACCGTTATATTCTTCCATGGTATAATATAGGCACCAAGAAGATACGCCACACGATAATAATAAAACAACAACATATGAAAAAAAAGTAGGTAGAGAATAAATGAAGACTTTGTCCAGAAAGGAAGCAGCTATATTTAACAAGACTAAACAACATTCATCGAATAATCGTCGGAAAGGGAAGAAAGAAGGAAACTGCAGCGCGTTCACCATCGATGATTGCGATTCTTGGCTATATCCGATAACGTTTCCAGTTACCGATTCGAGCTATCCCTCGGACTCCAACCACGGAGTCATGACGTGTCAAGCGACGCTAACCTACCACAAATATCCTTCATCCCACGACGTCACGTCATGGGCTAACGACCTCTCCGCTTTTTTATCCCGTTCCAGGGATAGCGAATAGAGTTCAGTACGGAGGTCTTTAGGATGACACTCGAAGCATATGTCCACGCGAGAGATGCCGGTGTTTCTAGATGACAACATTCAATGAGCAGTGATCTCCACTGTGTCCAAATACACGCTGCTGGACCTCAGAATTACTCATGCGATGATACCACCGAACGCAAGCAATTCTACAGAGACAGGAGTGAAGAGCCATTAAGTAGAGGAGTTGCATTAGTAGGAGGAAGGTAAGATAATAGAGATGAAGATGAAGACAAAGGTGGGTGAGGATTAGAGAGGTTTCGCGTGCTCTTCGGATTGTGAGGGCGATTGTTACTTCCCAGCTGCCCACACCGTGGAAGTTGGTTGCGTAACCGCAGAGCCCAGGGGACAACTGCTTGAGGCAGGTCACACACGGCCTGTTTTTGTTTGTTCTTTTTCATTTGGTGTGTCTCAGTAGAGTATTTATCACTTCTGCCCTGTGACACGGCAGCAGAAAGCGCGGTCGTTGTTAATCCGGGCCCCAACCGATCCGGCATGATATTTTGTGATTTATTTGAAGTCATAGGATTGGATTGGGTAACTGCTTTTAGTCTAACCGCTATCCAAACAACCTTCCTGGCATGGTAGGACCTGCAGGAACATAAGTTCCAGCCAGTATAGCTTGTTGGGTCATTGTGGTGTTCAAGCCCGACCACCACGTCAAGGTAGCAGCTTTCGGTCGGGTCTACAGAGACAGCAATACGCAGAGTAGCTGTACATCTTCAGCTCGGAGAGACTAGGTTTCGCAGGCGTAGAGCGAAACTTTCGCACACCGAAGCATTGTATACCCGACTTTTGACAACCAGACTAACGTCGCGACGGTGCTAGAGGTGGCTTCTATTAGCACATACCACCCTAGCTTTCATGATACGGCCGGAAATCTCGACCATCGCAACTACTCCAGTGCTAACGCAACTACCCAGATACAAGATTATACCGACAACTTCAGGCGGTCCACCTGCAAGAGTGAGTGAGGGTACAGACTCCTGCCAATCACGTGACAGTACTTTGCACTTCGACGGCGCCAAGCATATACCACACTTACAGACACACTGATTGCCAACTGATTTGGACAGATTGCAAGCTATAGCACACAATAAGACGATATCATCTGCTTTTGTTTTTACATGGGGGAGGGTTGCCCATCTTGCGCCCAGCCTTCCTTTTTCTTCGGGCTTAATGCCGACTAGTAAAGTAAGCGAGATTTAGGAGTGCATCTGCAGGAAATCAAACCCGGATCTCCAACTTGGCTAGCGAGCATTCAATAGACCTAATTATATGTAAAATGAGATAGAATTTACCAAATATCTAGTAATAATTATGAGGTCATTTACATAAGTGAAACTAGTAGATCCATTCAGCTAGGCCTATTAGAATATTGAAAAAATTTAGCCAATTCTAGAATATTTGAACCCATTACGTTAAATTCTCACTCTTTCTCTCAAAAAGAGACTCTCGACCATTGCTATGCACGTACTTGCATGAAATCACACAATACGATAGGATAGCGTAAGACTATTGAAAGGTGGTATACTTAGATGAGAACTCAGATAGAGACAGGTTAATAACCGAATAATTATGCGCATACGATTAACACCACATACATGTATCCACAATGGAATCCATCATTAGCTTTTGCGATTAGCCTCTGCCTATTCTATTGTATTGATCCACTGAAGTAGAAGGAACCACCATTGTGGTTACACCAAAGGATGAGACTATATACAGTTCTGAGTGTGGATAAGGCTAGAATAAGCATTCACCTCTCTCTTGAAAACAAATGGGGAATGATAGTGGAAACCTCGATTATTGGCTTAAACAGGCAACTTTCAACCAATGAATCCCAAGTTCCGATCCGGCTCTATCGATTTCAGCTTGTGGCAATTAAGCAGCATTATTAGTCATTGGTTACAGGATTTCATCATGAGCTGACATTGGTTAGAGAACTATTGGAAAACCTGGGAGTACTGGACAGCTGTTTCGTCCTAGTTTGGGACTCTTCAGCAGTACGCACTCACCGGGGTTCGAACCCAGGACCCTACAAACCAATACTTGAATATCAATGAGATGCTCACTGGCAACTGGCCCTATTCAGGTAGGTAGTTACCAGTAGGGTGCAGCAGGTCGGGTGTGAGGACAAATACTCGCCGAAGACACTGGCTAACGGTTGCGCTATATCGTGAATTGGCAGAAGTTAAAATTCATGTACTGGCCATTGGATCGGGTCCCAGTGGCTTAATGGTCTACGAGCTCGCTGGCCTTGTAACCGCAAGGTCCTGGGTTCGAACCCTGATGGGTGAGTACTGATGAAGAGTCCCAAACTAGGACGAAACAGCTGTCCAGTACTCTCTGAAGGTTTTCCAATAGTTCTCTAACCAATGTCAGCTCATGATGAAATCCTGTAACCAATCAACCAAATCCCTACAAACCAATACTTGATTATTAGTCATTATTTTCGCTTGCGTTCCTTTGCTTTCCTAGTAGAACATAAGGCTTCAAAAGATTGAGCTTTTAAGTTTCAGTAGCAGTGGTGTTTACCTTTTAAAGGGTGGAGGGGGGAAGGAAGGGATCACTAGTCTCACAGCCAACCTTTGCACATTACAACCGACTAGGGGAGTTAAAATGATGCGTGCCTGCCGGGCGGCAATGCATAATCGGCAAGCATCCCTACAGCTGAACTACCGACGCAATCATTGGTCATCACACAATAAGCTTGACTCACGACTTGGAAGATGAAAGATTTCTTCCAGGAACTCAATTTACAGAAATTATTCCATTGCGTAATAATCTTTTTTTCTATTTGATTATATCAATTAGCTTCCACATTCACCCACAATAATCAGTTTCACTACAAACTTTACCGTATTCTTTTAGTTAGAGAGAAAACAAAAAACACACCCTCACATAAAAGGATACACATACTAGACTGTAGAATAAAAAGAAAACACCATGATAGGTGGGTTATGATTATTATTATTGTTCCCTTGGGTTCCTAGTGGAACATAGGGCTTCAACTGCACGTCTCCACTTGCTTCTGTCTTCTGCTGTACTTTTCACCTGCATCCATGTTAGTCCATACTGTTTCAGCTCCTCTTCACACGATCTCCTCCATGTCACCCTTGCACTGACGTCCCACTACTCGCCGCTTCCCTTTCGGGTTCCACTCGAGCACTGGCCTGACGCGCGATGTCACCCAGCGGCCTCCTCAGCGAGTGTCCAATCCATCTCCACTTTCTCCTGCATATTTGTTGGGCGATTGGTTCTTGTTTTGTTTGTTCCCATAGTTTCTTGTTGGTGATTCTTTCCGGCCATCTGATCTTCAGTATAGAGCGAAGACAGTTAGTTGTTGATAAAGGTCTGCAACAGGCTGTTGGAAATATTCTTTGTGACCCGCCGCCAAGTTTCTGATCCGTATAGAAGAAGTGACTGACTTGACGTTTGTATTGAAAATCCGAATCACTTTGTTGTTGATGCTGAGTGACAGCGGAAGATTTCCAGATTGATTTCAGGTTGATGAATGTGTTTCTCAACCTGGGTGGGTTAGATACTAGCAATTATAGGAAACCGATACATCCCCCCCGTAATAAATACTTAGACTTTAACCCATCCCGTCTGGAATCGGTAAAGATATGTTCAGTCAAATGTCAGTATCATCGGGTCAGAAGGCTAGGTGGTAAATCAGAAGAAATCAAACAAATAAAGAAAATTTTACTCGTGAATAACTACCCAGCCACTAGAATTTATTCAGAAATGTATGAAGAACCATAGAAAAATTAAGATTAGCAATAAAAATGACAAAAATAACGGAAATAATATAGAATTCAAAGGCTGCACGGTAATGCCGTAGAAAGAAGGAAAGTCAGAGGAGGATTTACGTAGAATTCTCAATGAGGCTGGAATGAGTCAGGGTGGCGTTTAAGCTAACAACCAACCAACCATCCCTCTCAGAGATACACCTTGCCGACTTATGAACCCACCCCCCAATAGATCCCATTAGGAGAAATAATACAATTTATCAAATACCCTAGTTAGCTCGTGTTTTGTGTGATAAAGAAAGCATTAGGCGTGACACCTATAATTCATTAAATAGTCAGTAGTACAACTGGATCTCGTCTTTCCAAATAATATCATTTATAGGTGCAACATTTTCTTTTCCTTTTCTCCCTCTCTCTTTTTTCCGCTATGTGCTGCTTTGTTTCTTTCTCTCGCTTACGCCAGTTTAATAAGACAGCTTCCACTTTTCTAACACCTTCAAACACTTTTCAGCTTTCCTTTGCTACCGATATGCCAATGTGTTGTTGTAATAATGAACTGCGATTTCCTTAATCTATGTAGAATTCTATTTATTGATAATGTACTAACTGGATGCAATACTGTAGTAAACAAAATGCTGAGAATTCCATTCTGTATCACAAGTACTGTTTTGGAATAAAGCAAATTATTATTATTATATACCACTTGATGACTTGACTGTGAGGTCAATTCAGTGACATTGGTTAGTCAAACTAGTAGATCGGGGTCAATTCGATTAGATCATTGGAGCACTGAAATTTAGCGAGACCTAGAATGATTGAGTCAAATAATCTAGAAAAAATCCCAGCCATTGCACTGCATTCACTTGCATGTAATCACACAACGATAAGGTGGGTGGGATAGGGTGAGAGTATTAAAAAGTAATATGGTTAGGTGGAGAGAGAGATAAGAGGGAGGTTAATCACTGACTCCTTGTTTATTGATTCAACACCGCACACGGGGTGTGGAAATGACGCAACGCCTATGCTAAAGGTACAGAAAGTGGCGACAAACAACAAGGGGAGGAGGAAGAGAAAATGTATTGTGAAGCAGTGTGACTGACTGACTGACTGGTTTCAACATAGAACTTTGCACCGATGTGCAGCAGTTCGAGTCGCTACACTCCCTTCATGTACCACACAAAGCAAGAGGAGACAGTAAAAAGAAATGCGAAATAGAGACAGTAAACAGAGATATAAGGCAAAAGAATAGTAATATGGAAGAACAAAGTAGTTTTATTGGATATTATAAATCACAAGGAGTGGATGCATCTGCGCCAGCAAATGAGAACGATTTTGAGCCATATCAACGATTGTCTCCAGTTGTCATTGGTTTTTACCGTCCCGAGGACCTCAACTAGGAAGTCTACACCTCCCTACGTGGCTTAAACTAACTGTTGTAGATTTCATTGACTGATGAAGCCATGTTTTGGTTTGACCACCGCTAGCTCTTTTCCAACCTGACCCTATGTCAGCGGTTAACATTGCTCATCGAGGAAGGCGGTCGATGGCTAGGTATGCATGAATAACACATGTCCTAACCATCTCAGTCGATGTAGCTTCACAGTCTCGTCGATTGATTTCCCCTCCTTACCTAGCACTGGCAGTGTGACTAAAATTGATATGATTATTAGTTTTATTATTTTTATTTATTTTATTGTTAAGCTTGATTCCACACAGTACTTTTGGTAAAGTATGGAATTTCAGCATGGATATCGGTAGCCCAAATTTAACAGGCCGACCATAGAATCGGGTGTGCGTCGGCAGGTAATCGAACCCCGGACCATGTACATGGTCGGCGGGAGTCCTAACCACTGTGCTACCGACGCAATAATTGGCAATAATTTATGCTGGAAACCTTGTCATCCAGTTGTTGAAATATTGCACCACTCACTGTGTGACATTTGCAATAAAATTACCCAACATGAAATTACTTACATTCTACCACCAAAGTGGCCAAGTTCGACACTTACATTAATGACAGACAACTTCATTATCAATTAATAAATAAAATAAAATAAAACAACAACAACACATGTACTAACTAGCCACAGTCGACCACCACCACCTACCTTAATTTGACGAACAATTTCAAATTCTGATGTTGTATGAAAATCAGCACCTTCTTTACGCAGTAATAATCGTAAGAAACGTGTTACATCACGACCAGCTAAATCTGTACGTTCAATTGCATGCGGTAGAGCATAACCTTCATAGATAGGTACAGCGTGTGTTACACCATCTCCTGAATCCAATACAACTCCTGTAGTTCGCCCTGTAGAATATCTGTTATGTATATATATACATATATTGCAAAATGACAAAAACAGAAAGTAGTGAATACATTGACAATTAGTAAGTGGATAGTTTGATAGTATGGATCACCTGTTAAGTTGAGAAACATACCTCCTATGAACAAATTGGAAGTTGAGAGTCGACGCATCTCCCTACATCGCTACGCCAGTAATATAAAGATGGTAGAGAGGAAAGATAGATTGGGCATAAGGCTAGCAACCTGATCCTGTAAAAATAAACACCACTGTTACAGAAACTTTAAGCCTCTAGCCTTGAAGCCACCGCCCTATGTTCCACTGGAAACGTGAAGGTTTAAAAAAAATAAATAATCTAGAAAAAAGGTCAGTTATTGCATTGTAGGCACTGGGAAAATAGTGTGGGTGGGACAGGGTGAGAGTATTAAGGAGTAATATAGTTAGTTGGAGAGAGAGAGTGTGTGTGACAGTTGGGTTAATCACTGAAGCTTTGTTTATCGATTGAACACCGCATACGGGCTGTCGAAATAACGCAATGCCTATGCCGGAGATATGGAAAGTGGCAACAAACAGGAAGGGAAAGACGGACGGGGGGAGGGAGAGAAGCCGTGTGACTAAAATTGATATGATTATGAGTAGTGGCAATAATTTATGCTCGAAACCTTGTCATCCAGTTGTTAGTAGTGCATGATCTTTATATGAATAAATTTATCTAATGTGGAATTATGAAAAAGAGAAGACGTTCAGCGAAGAGACTCTTTTCGGCGAATTCATTCACATAGCTGTACAATCGCATTTATATACAATTATTTGTGTGTGTGTGTGTGTACATGAGGTTTGTCAAGTTTAGATAATTAATCAGGTAAATCAAGAATGATCTAATATAGAAACAAGGTTGATCAGAGTTTGTAAGTTAGATGACGACATGTAATTCACTAGAATGTTTCAACTTAGGTCAGGATAGCAACAGAGGTAACTACACGTAGAGACTAAGTAGAGGTGGGGTAGAGAATAATGCTATTTAAATTAGAACTAAAATTGAGCAAATAAATTGGATGACGTAACATAAATGACTAGAAATTGAGCGTTGGTCAAGTCAGTAACAGTGGTAATGAGGTGTAGAAATTAAATCGGGTGTGGGGTAGAGAACAGGAAGGTTGAAAATGTAAAGTATTACAATTGAAAAGACAAAATAATACTAATGAAGAGACAGAAAGAAAGAAATAGAATTTACCTGTCGGGTATTAAGACAGATTACGTCCATTGCAAGTGTAGTGATTGAACGAACTTCTTCTGTATGCAGAGTTCAGGACTTAGCAAGTGAATTGCCATTGAAGAATTCTGATTCGTACACTTTTAGGAAGACTGTTTCGTATTCTGTAGACGACTGGCAAGTTTGTATGGGGTGTAGCTTGGTGTCCGGAATCTATCAGATGTTCTAAGATGGAGCTGCGGGGGCGTCGTTTTTCTCCTTTGTAAAACCATGTTGGTAAGTGTTCGGTGATACGTTTGAAAAGCTATTGTGGAATTAATTCTACCACGGGCCGAGTTCTACACTTACATTAATAAAACGGATTAACATCGTGAACACATCTAAAATCCAAAGTTTGAATACCTACTTATAACCGAAGACTCTCATCATGCGAAAAATTCCCTCAAACTATAAACAATAATTATTATTGTTGTTGTTAAGTGAATCTACAGAATAAGGATTAAATATAATACGCCTAAATATCGATTAGTGATTGATTTCTGTTGAGTTTATGTCACTTTTTCAATACCTTCATATGACTTACACTCATTTGTACATGGTAAAGGTGTTAATAATAGTTATAAGCTTATTGATTTTAACTTTTTGACTTTTTAGGAAAAGAACTGTTGAATCAGCAATTCAAAGTGCGTCCAAGTTGTCAAGGTTTGTTTTTTTTCCTTCACGTTCCCCAGTGGAACATAGGGCTTCAAGCTAGTGGCTTGAAGTTTCTGTAGCAGTGTTTAATTTTCACAGGATGGGGTTGCTAGCCTCATGCCAAACCTTTCCTCTCCCCCAGCATTATTTATGGCTTAGCGAGGTAAAGGAGTGCATCGGTGGCCGGGGATCGAACCCCGGACCATGTGCATGGTCGGCGAGCGTCCTAACCGCTTGCCACCGACGCACAATTGTAGAAATATTGCCTGTGATTGCTGTTTGCTTATTATTTTGATTCATTCACTGTAGATCTGTTGGTGAGCCATCTGGCATGATGGCCACATTGCAAACGTGACTGATTGAATTCAGCCTATACCAAACAAAGGACTAGACACATTACACTAGTTACTGACTAGTGTCCAATCAGAGTATCCAATGCAATCGTACAGGAGGTCATTCGCCAGTGCGAATAGCTCAGTGGTGGTAATGTCTTTAAAGGCACCACCAAGAGACGACAGTTAGAATCTCAGACAGGAGGGACCTGAGTTCCTTCAACCTGGTTATAGATATTCCTTGCTATGACTAGCAGAGTTCCAGCTAGCACAAAACCTAGGTCTAGGCAGGGCTTCCTGCCGATTGCCTCCAACCACCTAATATCAACATGTATGTAGTCCACTAGTTGAATGGCTTGCCTACCAAAAGGTGGGTGGGTTATGAAATATGGGCCCTACTACTTCATTTACCATAGTTTAGGCATTCAGTTAGTGATCACAAACCTTTATACAATACGTCATAGAGAAGACAGAGGTGATGAAGACATCTCATCAACAAACAATACCTATCCTCATCAATCGGCAAAATCTCAAGGAAGTCACCTCCTTTAGTCACCTGGTCAACATCGCTTCAGCTAAAAGCTGTACGGATAATGAAAATGAAAGCCAAGATCTGGGAAAACAGTGTAAGTGTGGACATTCACAGCACCACAGTACCAAGAACAAGATCCGAATTTTCAACATTGGTGTGAAATCAGTGCTTCTAAAAAGTACACTCAGCATCAACAACGAAATTCGGATTTTCAATACAAACGTCAAGTCAGTCAGTTTTTCTATACGGATCAGAAACTTGGCGGCGGGTCACAAAGAATATTTCCAACAGCCTGTTGCAGACCTTTATCAACAACTGTCTTCGCTGGCTCTATACTGAAGATCAGATGGCCGGAAAGAATCACCAACAAGAAACTATGGGAAGAAACAAAACAAGAACCAATCACCCAACAAATATGCAGGAGAAAGTGGAGATGGATTGGACACTCGCTGAGGAGGAGGCCGTTGGGTGACATCGCGCGTCAGGCCAGTGCTCGAGTGGAACCCGAAAGGGAAGCGGCGAGTAGTGGGACGTCCCAGGGTGACATGGAGGAGATCGTGTGAAGAGGAGTTAAAACAACATGGACTAACATGGATACAAGTGAAAAGTACAGTAGAAGACAGAAGCAAGTGGAGGCGTGCAGTTGAAGCCCTATGTTCCACTAGGAACCCAAGGGAACAATAATAGTAATAATAAGTACACAGATTTGGCAGGTGAACAAAGGCATTTCAACGCCTGTCTTCTCTCGATACTGACGATCAGAAATGGCTATCCAGAAAGGATAGGCAACAAGGAACTCTGGCAGACAGCAAACCAAGAACCTATGCAGGTGGATTGGACATACACTGAGGAGACCGCTGAGTGACACATTACACATCAGGCCCTCAAATGGAAATCTAATGGGAAGAGATGAGTTGGGCGTCTAAGGAGGGCATGGAGAAAACCGCCCGTTGGGAGATGAAAGCTTATGAGAACAGTCAGTTATGCAGTCAGCTAGGAAGTGATCGCAAAGAACAGAGTGGAATAGACGTGTGTCGTTGAGGCCGAATACTACACTCGGAAGTATAGGAGTGAATACTACAGCAAGACACGGATCCAGAAAGCTCGGGCTGCTTTCGCTAACTTACACCGTCTCTGGCGTAGGCGTGACATCCGGCTGTCAACCAAGGGACGTGTATACTGCTCAGAAGTTCGCTCCGTCCTTCTCTATGGCGGTGAGACGTGGCCATTGAGAGCGGAAGACATGAAGAGATTGTCTGTTTTTGACCACAGATGTTTACGATCTCTTTCTCGCGTTAGGTGGTATAATAAGGTAAGTAATGTTGACGTTAGGCGTAGAGTGTTGGGCAAAGAGGGAAAATCACTCGAAGAGGCTATGAAGTTACATAGATTGAGATGGTTAGGCCACGTGCTGCGCATGCCTAACCATCGTCTCCCCGGACGGGCATTACTAGCTGATATAGGCAGTTTAGCGCAATGTATTCAGTCTCTTAACCTTCATCTTCTACTTTTTTTATCTATTTTTTTACTTGTGTGCTTTGAGTCACTCGAACTGCTGCACTCGGTACCAAGTTCTATGTTGAATCCACAGCAGCAGCAACTACACTCGGAAAGAATAATAATTATAATGGTAAGCGTACTATTTATTATTATTATTCCTTTGGTTTCCGAGTGGAACACATGGCGTCAACAGCACATGTCCAGTTCATCCTATTCTTTGCATTCCTCCTCAGATGGCCCTAAGATTGTCCATAGTCTCTCATCTCCTCCTCACAAGATCTTCAAACCCACGCCACACTCTTTGTTTCGCATTCGGGTCCCACTCGACGGCCTAATGTCACCCAACGGTCTCCTCAAAGGTGTATGTCCAATCCATCTCCATTTCCTACGGTATATTTGTTGATCAGTAGGTCCTTGATTGGTTCGTTCTGGGGATAGAATCTTCAATATAGAGCGAAGGCGGTTGTTGATAAAAGTCTGCAGGAGACTGTTGGAAACGCTTTGGTGGTGCGCTGGCCAAGTTTCTGACCCATATAGAAGAACTGACTGACCTAACCATCATTGGGTGTTGAAAATCCGAATTTTGTTCTTAATGCCACGGAGTGCAGAAGATTTCCAAACAGATTCCATAGTGATGAAGGTCTGTGATGATGCCTCTTAGACGAGAGTACTATACGTAAGACAAATTGCTAAGTGCGCTCAAATGAATCTTTTAGTAAGCAACATTTGCTATTTTGGTTTGGTAGAACATCACATATAGAATGTTTTGATAAACACAAATAAGCATTAAATTAGCAAAATACAAAAGTGGACACTACTCACAGGCTTAATACTGCTTGCATAGAAATATACAACGCAGGTACACCAAATGTTTCAAAGAATATTTCTGCCATTTTCTCCCTGTTCTTTTTAGGATTGTGTGGAGCTTCTGTTAATAAGACTGGATGTTCTTCACTGTTAACCATCAGTTGATCTTTCCCATATACATAAGCCCATATACGTTCCATATCATTCCAATCACGTATAATCCCGTGTTCAATAGGATATCGTATACTTAATAGGCCACGATGTTCTTCTGCTTTAGGTCCAATAAAATCATCGCCTTCAAGTGCACCGGCCATAACTCTGACATGTTTTGGACGACCAATACTTTATGATGATAGGGGGGAAGAGAAAGAGCAGAAGTCAATTTTAACAGTTTTGACTTACTAATTTGGGAATCGATATTTCGGGACTTGATCCCCAGCAAAACCTGCTTTCAATATACCCGTCCCCTGAAAAATAAAATAAAGCAAAGAAATATATTTTCGAGGTGTAACACTAGAGATACACAGAAAATCAACAGAATGAAAAATCAACTAAATCATATGATACTAATTAACCCCTACAATCGGAAAATATTTATGTTACTATGATCGATTTTTCAATACCTTCCTCATACCTTTGCGTCTCCAATCGAACATAAGGCTTCAGCCTTCGAAGTTTCAGTAACAGGGGCGTTTTTCTTCTTGCTGGATGAAGTTGCTGGCCTCACACCCAACTTCCCCTCCCCGAGATCTAGGAGTGCGTCGATCGGGAAACTAATCCGGATCACCTGGGTGTTTGGCGAACATTCTACCAATGAACTACCAATGCACCATTGGTTATTGACGGTGAGAGATATGAAGTGTATTCACAGTTATTAATAATTATTATCATTTGAATTGCTCTTAGAATGTTAACGTTAAAGCGAGGAGTGGAATGCAACTGTCATTGACATTGCTTTCAAAAAAGTAATGGTAACTTGTTGACGATATGCAGGAATTCATACCAGTAGATAGTTATACTACTACATCTACTACCTGCCTACCTACTACTCGGTAGGTTCACTCCGTCCTCCTTTATGACTGAGTGAAACATGGCCATTGCAAGTGGAAGACATGAGAAGCCTGGCTAGCTAGATGTCTTTGATCATAGGTATCTGCGTTGTATCTCCCATTTTAGGTGGTGGGTGTAATCGAGTGAGTACTATTGAGGTGACTGACATCAGCCAAGTGATAGGTGTAGACTTCCTGACTGGTTGGGGTCCTTGGGATGGTAAGAACCAATAACAGCTGGAGACAATTGGTGAAAATCGTTGACAATGGCTGGCGCAGATGTATTCATTCTTTTTGACTTGTCACATCCAATAAAACCCCATTGTTCTTCCATATTACTATTCTTTTTCCCTCATACTTCTGTTTGTTACCTTTCTTTTGAAACTCTCGACTCTTTTCTTGCTCTATGTGCTAAATGGAGTGTGGCCAGTCGGACTGCTGGACATCTGTGCAAAGTTCTATGTTGAAACCAGTCAGTTAGTCACTATTCGATAGGTGTAGGACAATTCGAAGGCAGAAGTTGTATCAGCACCAACGGATTGATTGGTGACGAAATCACAGCACGGATCCAGAAAGCTCGGGCTGCTTTCGCTAACTTACACCGTCTCTGGCGTAGGCGTGACATCCGGCTGTCAACCAAGGGACGTGTATACTGCTCAGCAGTTCGCTCCGTCCTTCTCTATGGTGGTGAGACGTGGCCATTGAGAGCGGAAGACATGAAGAGATTGTCTGTTTTTGACCACAGATGTTTACGATCTCTTTCTCGCGTTAGGTGGTATAATAAGGTAAGTAATGTTGACGTTAGGTGTAGAGTGTTGGGCAAAGAGGGAAAATCAATAGAAGAGGCTATAAAGTTACATAGATTGAGATGGCTAGGTCACTGTGCGCATGCCTAACCATCGCCTCCCCCGACGGGCATTACTAGCTGATATAGGTGCAGGTTGGAAAAGAGTAAGTGGTGGCCAAACAAAAACATCGCATCAATCCATGAAATCCCTGACAGTTAAACTGAGTCAGGTAGGGAGATGCAGACTTCCGGGTTAGGCCCTCGGGACTCTAAGAATCAATGGCTAGTAATTTGTAATCTTTCATTTCCTTTCTCCATTACTCTTTCTGTTTCACTCTTATACTTGTCAAAACTCTATTGATTCTTTCACTCATTTTCTTGTCTACCTTTGTGTGCTATTTGGAACGTGGCAACTCGAACTGCTGCACTTTGGTGCCAAGTTCTATGTTGAATCCAGCGAAGGCACGAAAGGCATATTAGTTGACATCTAAGTAGTGAGAACATAGACGTCAAAGAATTACGTCGAACCTGCAACGATGCTTTAAAGAAAGACAGACAATATCATTAGTACTTATCCAATAAGCTGTTGTGTATCCCTTCATACATACAGTTGCTCAGTGTTACTTTCAAACAAAAGACTAGACTGAAACTTACTGTAGAAGGACACGTTGTTCAGTAATTATATGCCAGACTACTGTTCATTCAATATATGTAAAATAAAAAAAGCCTAAATATATATTCACTATAGGTAAGTCCTGTGAGAATAACTCTAATACAGAATCTCAGCACAGATACAAAAGTTTTGTGTGGCATTTGCTGACTTCCATCATCTGTAGCGTAGACGTGATATGTAGCTATCCATCGAAGGAAGTCTGTAGTGTACTGTGCATCAGTTCTCTCCCTGTTTTATTTTATGGCCCTGAGACATGGTCATTGAAAGCGGAGGAGGATATGAAAAGGCTAGCCATCTCTCACCATAAATATTTGTGTTCTATTTTCCATATTAAGTGGTATAATAGGATGAACAAGATATAAGCGAACAATATTGTTTTCAATTAGATCTTCTTCAGGCTTTACTCTAATTTAATAGATTTATATATAAAATTTTAACCAATGACGGTGATTTTGGGAATCAAATATAATAATAAAATAATAATGTGGTAAATGTTTTGAACGTAGTTAATAACGATGATTATAATGATAACAAAATATTGATATAATAATGTATATAAGTTATAAAATTGGGTCAATCTTAAAAGGTGAAGTGGAACGATAATAGAGTTTAAATAAATATTATAAAAGTACGAAGGAGGTGGAAAATAAGAAAGGGTGGGAGGGTTTTGAATAGAATTCACCTAGGCCAAGGGAGAGACAAAGCTAGAACAAACTTCTTTGTATGCAAGACTAGGATTTCTCTCGAATTCAACTGGCACGAGTGCAGCATTCGAGTGCCTAGAGTAAGAGAAACAGAATGAGTAATGGTAGAAAGGAATATGAAGGTTAAAGAGACTGAATACATCTGCGCCACTGACAACGATTTTGAGCCATGTCACCTATTGTCTCCAGCCATTGATTCTTAGAGTCCCGAGGGCCTAGGTGTAAAAGACGGTTCTGATTCCATTCGAAAGACTCGTGGATACGATAGATAACTTTGAAAGCACTATTTTGTCCACTTGGTGACCGCTATCAATCAAATGAGCCAAAATAGAACTTCGTATGGATTTTATTTGACCTTTTCCGAACCATGAAGGAAGATGCTCATTAATGCGTTTTTAGCTGTCAGTTGTTCGCCCTATATAGCTTTCTCCACAGGAGCAACTAAATTTATAGATACACATCGAAGTGGCACAACTAGGTAGCTTATCTTTCACTTGAGCAATCAAAATTGGTCGACTGGAAAATGACAAACAAAGGGTGGCGGCAGTATAAGTCCGTTTTATCGCTCTCGATAATCTCAGATGTAAGACTTCACTAGCCACGTCCCCATTAAATTGAAGCTTCATGAACAGTTCTTTCTTTTTAACTGTTGTCAGTTTTTCTTTGTTGTACCTGGTATGAGTAATATTAAGGTTAAGAGGGGACACTAATCGACGAGGTTGTGAAGATAAATCGATTCAGATAGCCAGGACAAGTGTTGTACATGTCAAGCCACCGCCTTTCTTGACAAGCAATGTTAGCTGGCTGACATAGGGTTGGGCTAGAAGAGTTAGAGATAGTCAAAACAAACCCTGGGATCAGTCTATGAAGTCAGTGACAGTTGGTTCAATCAACGTAGGGAGATGTAGACTTATTGGTGAAGGTCATGAAGATGGTAAGAACCAAAAGCTGGAGATTGTTAGTGATATGACTCAAAATTGTTTCTATTGGTGCAGGTGAATTCATTCTTTGTAATCTCGAACCTTTGTCCACGGAACCTTCAGATAATATCCATGTTATTATTCTTCTCCTAGTATATTTCTACTTATTATAGTTCTTTTCAATATCAAAATCATTTCTATAGACGAATGTATACCTTGGTAATAAATTCCTATATGTACGCTCATATGACCACTCCAATTTGCATATATCAATTCACCTACTCCTGTGAAGTTAGGCACATAAGGTCGTTTTACTCACATCTCTACAAACCGTATTAGAAAAGACTGTCTAGCATAGTTACAAAGAGGCAACACTGGTTCAATCATCAGCACCCATGACAACTTATAAGCTGATTTATCAGTCAGAGTCGTTTACAAAATGAATAAAAGCCTACTACTACTACAGGCAATGTGTTTCTGACTTCGTTGTACAACAGAAGCTCTCACCATATGCATTGAGAAGCCGGAGTTGTGTTAAAAAGATACCAGTCCAACCTCCCTCTTTACCGGTCTTACTGTTGGCTTAGCAAGGTGAAGGGGTGTGTCGGTCGGGAATCGAACAGCGAACCACATGCATGGTTGGCGAGCATTCCACCGCTATACCACTGAGGCACCGGCTTCTTAGTTAGTTGTCGTTTATTCCATTCCCTTAGTTATTTTGTCATCTTCAGTTATAAAACCGATCATTTCAATCTGTTCCTATGCACATTCTTTTCACATCTGTCTTTGTTGAGAACTCTTCTACATATTATACTAGTATTTTCTAATTCTATGTAATTTTTTTATATACCCCATTGTGATCTATATTCATACCTTCAAACTTTCACACCAAGCTGAAAATTATTATCTGCTTCGTCACTGTGTTGAGTTATATACTTTTAGCTATGCGGACTTTTGTAAAAAATGTGATTGTGCAGCTGCTTTGGAGGACGAAATCACCGAAAAGATAGCTACCTTTGCTGAACTTTTTGTTGCTTTTTTCTTTCTCCCTAATCTCCTGATGGGTATTTTGCAAGAATTGTACATTTACTGTAGAGTTAATTCACGACACAAAGCCTTATGCAACATCTCTCAAGTGATCCGATGAATTAAAGCAGTGTCCTTTTGTAGACTTGATATGATTATGAGCAATAGTTTGTGCTCGAAACGTCATCAGCTAATATTACTGTACAACACTGTGTGATTTATCAAAACAAAATCTTATCTATAATGGAGTTATACTTTACCACAGTGCCCAAGTTTTATATCCTTTTTTAGTGTCTTTAAGTATGGTATGTGCTTTCCACCGCCTAAGTGCAAAGTACTGTTACAAGATTGGCAGGAGCCTGTACCTGCACTCACTCTTGCAGGTGAACCGCTTGAAGTTGTCGATAAGTTTGTGTATCTGGGTAGTTGTGTGATTGCTGGTGGAGGTGTGACGGATGAGATTTCCAACTGTATAATGAAGGCTAGGGTGGCATACATCAACTTGAACCACCTCTGGCGCCGTAGTGACGTTAGCCTGGCTTTCAAAGATCGGGTATACAATGCTTCGGTGCGAGCTGTTTTGCTCTACGCCTGTGAAACCTAACCTCTCCGAGGTGAGGATGTGCGGCGGCTCTGCGTGTTCGATCATCGCTGTCTCCGCAAGATTGCTTGCGTTCGATGGCATCATCGCGTAAGTAATTCTGAGGTTCGGCCGCGTGTGTTTGAACAGTGGAGACCACCATTTGTTGAGTGTCGTCATCTGGAAACACCGGCTTTGGTGGCTTGGACATGTGCTACGAATGTCATCCTAGAGGCTTCCGTACAGGTCTCTGTTCGCTAGCCGTTGGACGGGATAGAAAAAGCGGAGGTGGTCAGCCCATGATGTGACGTCGTGGGATGAAGGATATTTGTGGTAGGTTAGCATTGCTTGACACGTCATGACTCCGTGGTTGGAGTCCGAGGGATAGCTCGAATCGGTAACTCGAAACTTTATCGGATATGGCCAAGAATCGCAGTCATCAATGGCAAACGTGTTGCAATTTACTTCTTTCTTCCATTCCCGATGATAGTTGAAAAATACTGTTTGAACTTGTTAAGTATGGCTTTTTCCTTCCTGATGAAGTTTTTTTCGTCCTCCACCCATATTTTTACTTTTAATCTATTTTGCTTTATTGTTATTGTATTATTACTGTCTAAATGATCTAAATAGGAATGAAGTCGTTATTCTAAAAAGGCTGACGCAGATAACAAAGTGTGCATGTGTGCAGTACTACGTTGATTTTATTTAGACTACGTCAGTCAAAATGCAGCATTAATACGATATACGTCAATTGTTAAGGGTTTGTCTGTCTGTCAGTTTGCATGAATTACCTCGGAAATATAACCTCTGGGGTTTCATCATACCTCAGAAACTGCACACTGAGTAGTTGGTTAACATACTCCCTGACAAAGATGTGCTTTAAGTCACTTCGTAAAATGTACTGAACACCGCACTAAGATAAGCTTCTCCGCCTAGATTTCACTACACAAGTCACACAAAACTATGTAATACTAGAACACTTTATATTCATTTTCTTAATGAATATATCACGAGTGGAGCAGCACTACTGACTGCGTTATATATCCAATAAACGAATTAGTATGGAATTACATACCACTAGTACGGTGACCAAATTCTACGCAAAAATGTTTCACTTTCTAAAGTTATATTCATTATTGCATTTAACCATCTCATTTAAACCAGTCGTAAATTATTATTTTCCAATACATTTATGACGAACTCATGTTTGTAGATACGTATTAGAGTCCAGTGATGGACTGGGTTAGACATTATAAAATATTTGTACAACTTGCATCGCGTGACTGAGTAGTTTACATCCACCGTCCTTTGCTGTCACCAACGATGGATCTTCTTTGATGTGTTTGGGTGAACTCCAGTACAAAGACACCGGGGTTCTACTTATCAACTAACTAACTTATCATACGAGGAAAGACCAGACAGTTTAAATCTCTTTTCCCTGTCATACCGTAGGCAGAGAGATTTAATCACAATGTTTAAAATTTTAAATAATGACTACGGACCTGACCTATTTTCTCTTTTCCTTCCCACCAGGTCAGAACACCTTAGAGGACATAGCAGGAGAGTTCAAAAGCCAAGAAGAAATCACATTGCTGTTGAGTACTGGTTCTTACACCGAGTGATAAACTCTTGGAACCGACTCCCAGAAGTGGTGTCTGCAACCTCAACTGATTCGTTCAAGAAGGGTTTGGACAACCACAGAAATTTACTAGAAAAGGATTAACATAGGCTCCAAGGCTTCTATCCTCAACCAATAAATCTGAAATCTGAATCAAACACACGCATGCTCAAAGTTCTTTGAGAGCACGAAATACGATATTGTACAAACGTTTTGATAGTTATGGAAGCATGGGTTAGGGCAGCTTAGTAAGTCAGAATCCTCTTCACACAATGAAGTAAATCTTATTCAAAATTTTCGGAGTAATATTTGAATATTTTCCTAGTAACACAGTCTTAAAAACGTAACATACATGGACAAGAATAGATTGACAATATTTTCAATGATTAATACGAATTTGCTATATATTAACCCAATTGGGTTAGAACTAAAGCCACTTCTTCATTAAACGTTCAGTCGTTGCCCATAACGAAAAAAACAGCTGCATGGAAACAATACTTTTAAATAAGCAGAGATGACCGGTAAATCCAAACCATAGGAGAACCAAATAAACCAAGTCGGTTTCCTTCTGATGAACTATGAGGGGCAAGAATTCTTCTCACATTGTGTAACCCCAACTATATTGAGAGAATTAACTGGAAACCATACGATTTAGTCGGAGCAAAAATCATGCCTGGAAGTCGGTAATTATACTTATAAAGTTAACTTAATATATTGCACGAATGGGAAATATGCCCAAAATCAGACATTACACCAACATGACAGTGGCAACTTATTCCACCCAAAATCACGCTACTTACGATATCTATAACTACGGGTTGATTCGTGATTACATCATAAGAATCCATAGTCCCACAAGGTAGCGCACTAAATCCAAATTTGAAACAGAGTCTGTGGCCAATGTCCAATATCCAATATCCTGATTACGAGCTGGTATAAAGCAGTGATTTCTTTGAGCTCGCTTCTTGATTGTAGGGTAGAAGTTCCAGATCTTCGGTGAACTTATGCGTAGTAAGTCCCGCCACTCGACTGCTTTAGCTCTGGTAGACTCCAAGAGGAGTGGTGCGAGGAGTGGTCAAGATGTGGTTTGTAGTGTGCAGTATGTTAGGACTGAGTTGCTGCCGTGAATGGAGTTTGACCTAACACCCGTTGGTCATTCGGTGTAGTCATAAAAATAGAATAGTAATAATAATAACAATAATAATAGGTTGTATTGTAGATAATATAGGTTGAGATAAGTGAAATAATAAAGGTGACCTAAGGAAAAGATAGAGTAGTCGGTACAGTGAGAGAAGACAGAACTGGTCGTGGGGATTTAGCTTGTATGCTTATCCATTGACAGTGTGGTTTTAAATTTTAAGAGGATAAGCCATTGAGACACAAACCTTGCTTTTCTGCATGATTATCCAGATTCAGCTTAAAAGTCTCCACAGGTGGCGCTGTAGTCACGGCCGCCGGTAAAGCGTTCCAGAGACGGCAAACTCGAAGCGAAAACAAATGTGAACGCACTCGAGTCCTTAGTCTCTGGTGTGCTATCCTTAGCGGGTTACCTCGTGGAAGCCTATAATCACTTAATGGCAGGATGCTTTTATTAGGGTGGGCCTGGTCATTTAAGATCTCATAGACGGTGATGAGGTCTCCCCTGTGACTACGGTAACTAAGTGTGAAAAGACTTAATTTCTTCAGTCTTTCCTCATATGATTCGTTGCGGAGGCCGATCACCCATTTTGTCGCTCGTCTCTGGACACTTTCTAGAATGTTAGCATCCCTTTTGAGTAGCGGAGGAGCAATGATATTATGCACCTCAAGAAGTGGCCTCACGTATGTCGTATACAACCTTAAGAATAGTTCTGGAGTAAGAGCTCCCAGCTGCCTATGCATAAAGTGTAAAGTTGCGTAAGCTTTGGCGACGTCCCTCGTGTAATTTCCGCTGGTGTCAAGCTTTTCTGTTAAAATAAGACCTAGGTCGCGCTCTGATGGCACACAACTCAAGTTCTGGCCACCAAGGGTGTAATTTGCATTCTGTGACCTGCCGGAATGAAGTTGCACTACTTTGCACTTCTTTAGTTTGAAAGGTATTCCGTTAGCCAGAGCCCAGTCTCCCAGAGTTTGCAGGTCAGCCTGCAATCTGTTTGAGTCTTCCGATGAGTTTATTGCTCTCCAAATCTTTACGTCGTCAGCGTAAAGAAGCGCAGAGCAGTTCAGTTGACAGGGCAGGTCATTGATAAAAATCAAAAACATCAACGACCCTAAGATAGAACCCTGAGGAACCCCTGATGCCGAGGTGTGCCAGGATGATCGGATGCGGTTGACTTTGGTGCAGAATTCTCTCTCGCCTAAGTAATCTTTCAGCCATGCGAGAAGTGCTCCAGAAACACCCACCTTGCTTATTTTGTGAAGGAGCAGATCATGGTGAACTGTGTCGAATGCCTTCGCAAAGCCGAGAAAGATCACATGGACTGGTACCTTTACGTCCCAGGATAGTGTCCAATCGTTCCAAGCTAGTAGAAGATTCGTCACACAGGATCTTCCCCTCCTGAAACCGTGCTGAGCTTCATGGAGTAGGTTAGTCCCGTCGAAGTATTTTCTCATGTGGTCGTCAATGAGACTTTCCAATATCTTCGATATCACTGGAAGTAGCGCAACTGGTCTGTAGCTGGTCGCATTCTGCCAGTCACCACCTTTGAAGATAGGGGATAGGATTTGTAACCGACTACCCTAGATAACCTGATACTTTTAGTGAAACCTAATTAAACTGGAAAAGTGGTTTAAGTTCTACAGTGGATTTCGATCTAGTATATTCAACACTGTATTCTCTGTAACACTAATGAACGGAGTAAGTAATTGGACTTTGATTTATAATAATAATAATTTTTATTTCTGGAACAGAAACCAGCCATTTTTACAGGCATGAACAATGTACACTATAGACTATAGAATATATTTGATCTGTTAATCTAGAAATAGATTGAATACTAGTAAATTTGAGAGAAATATTTAAAAAGAAATGTACAAATAAGGCAATAGGTAATTTTCGAGATATGCTTTCAACTGAATAATTCATGAGATATAGCATCAAATCAAAACTGTTATTGAAAAAATACGGTATGTCAATTTCACGCGGGAATTATAAACGATTACGTTAATTGTGGAAGTTAAGTAGCATTTTTGTACAGGTGCTGGCGTGAAATATAAGAGATGCGGAATGAACAGTAATTGTAAGTAAATGATTCATAGAGTCCATAAAACTTCAAATTCACCGGTAAGTACACCATAATTGTGACATTTCCAGTTGTATATGAGACCAACTTTGAACTTGTCGGCAGATTTCATGATAGAGGTGGTTCCGTTATTCACCAGGTGGGCTAGCAATATTCCGAGGATAGCGGCACTGTTTCAGTGCCTTCGTTTAAGGCAGTACCTTTGAAAAGAGAAGAAGACACAAGGAAACCGACAGAGAGGTGCAGAAGTATATAATAGGTGTTAATAATTCAAAACATATGTAAAAAACATGGGTTCATCATATTTTTGTTTTTTATTCATTTAAAAAATACTATTTCCCCCTGAGATTTTCTAGTGATGGAATTCTAGTCTTTCTTGCGAAAAGAAAAAAAAGTTTAAGTGAAAAAAGATGATAATTTTACCAACTTATATAGGTTGAATAGGAGTTAAACACAAAAGTCAAAGTGCGTGAACTATGTAGAAGAAAAGCGAGGGCTTAATAATAACTACTGTTTTTCTGAAGTATACATTTAGGTGTCCTTCTGAAGTAGGGGACTCATACCATGTACTTGCATTCGAGGAGTTTGTTATTTAAACTTCAGCTTTAGGCAAATTTTCAACTTCTGTTGTCTTTTTTTAAAATTTTATTTATTCTCTTGTTCTGCAGAAGCCATTCGAACTCAGGAGCCTTAGCAATAGAGTGCTGTCCCACAGATAAGGGTGGTTCTCATATGTCCCCACCATCATATCCGCTGACTAGCAATCACCACCCTCCCACCTTTTTTGTGCAAGGCCCTGGCAAAATGCTTCACTTTTGTTATACATATCTTCTAATTTCTGTTATAATGTGCCACAAACTTCTTTTTTTTAAAATATTCATTTGTCAACTCATTCGAAGTCATGGCATGAGTGACTACTTTCAGAAGACCGTCATGTATGTTTCATCTGTTACAGCATTTTGGAGAGGAACAATAATAAAAGTATAAGGAAAATAGACTATCAGAGTCTACATTTTAGATATAAACAAATGTAATTCCGGAAAACAGTGCATAATCATGCAGCATTAAACAAATAAGTAGTAGTAATAATATATACGCAGGTGAATCATTAATATTCATTATTTATTTCACACACTAGCATAATCATTGATTTCACGCATCTGCGTGATTATTGATTTAAATTACTGAATTCCCAGGGTTTGTTAATATTTTTAAAATGTGACATTGCTTTTTCTAATTGTATAAATACGGAGTTGTTGTTTAACATTTTCGACTGTTGTTTGAGACAGTAAAAGCTCTCATATCAACGTCCAGTCTTCTCTTTTATTTGTCTTGCGTGCCCGGCGGTATTATTGTTGTTGTTGTTGACGTGCGATTAGGACAGATTAGCCAGCGCATTAGTTAGATTCGCTCGTAGTCTACAAGGTCCTCATATTCACATACATAACAAATTTGGCGACGGGTTTGCTGAAGATGGACCCACTGCGTTTAGAGAAACTAATGGAACAGCAGCTAAAATTGATGGAAATGCTTGCTGGTCTACAAATATTGCGCTCTGTTGATTCATCTACAGCCAACGACAGCAATGGTAGCAGCATCTCAGAATTCGTTTATGATCCAGATGCGAACGTAACATTTGATACCTGGTTTCGCAGATATGAAGACCTATTTCGAGTAGACTTTGCGGATAAAGATGATGCCTGGAAAGTACGGCTTCTACTTCGTAAATTGGGAGCAGATGAGCTGGATAAATACTTCAACTTAATTCTCCCACAGAAGCCCAGTGAAAGATCATTCGATGAAACTGTCCATACCCTTCGTCATCAGTTTGGTGATCAGAGATCTTTGTTCAACATTCGATATCATTGCATGAAACTAGTTTTGAACGAAAATGATGATATCCATACTCAGTTGGGTATAGTCAATCGCACGTGTGAACGTTTTAAATTAAAATCACTCTCAGAAGACCAGTTCAAGGTATTGATTTTCATTTGTGGTTTGCAGTCTCCCAAATTTGCTGATATACGCACACGTCTATTAAATCGTCTGGAACAAGATCCACGAGTGACTTTGAAAGACGTCGGTGAAGAATATCAGCGTTTAATCAACATTCATAACGATACCGTCTTGGTGCAGTCTGGCAGCCAAAATGCAGCAGAAGTGCATGCGGTGCATCCAGTACCGTCGACATCAACCGCACCGCTTCATCCTCAGCATAAACCACCATCAGCCTGCTGGCACTGTGGCTCCTGGCATTTTGCAAACTTGTGCCCATTCAAACAGCATAAATGCCGTCGATGCCATACTGTTGGTCACAAAGATGGCTACTGCAAACGCAACAACCGACCCAGATCTCGTAGTCGACCCAAACGGCGCAACAAGCTCAAGTCTTTGGGTGTTACTGCCACATATCATATTAGTACTCCAGCACCTCGCAAATATATCAATCTGACGATTAATACACGGCCGGCACGCCTACAAATCGACACAGCATCCGATATTACAATAATATCAAAGAAATTATGGCAGAAGTTGGGATGCCCTACCATAGAGAAGACAAATCAAATAGCAATTAGTGCATGTGGTGGAAGACTTCGATTGAATGGAGAAATAAAATGCAGCGTTGATTTTCGCGATAGTCATTTCGTCGGCACATGCTACATCAATAATTCAA